GGCCAGCCCTAGAATTTAGAAATTTAATACACTATTTTTAAGGCTTACAGAAATGCTAGAACCCATGAATATAAATTCACAGCTAAAAATTTCCTTTATTCTAAACAGGATTGTTGATGGAATTGAAGATGGAAATAGCAGTGAAGAAAGCCAGACTTTTGAATTTGGCTCTGAACGAATCAGGCCAGATCCCAGAATTTCTCCTCCTCTCAGAGGTAAGCTCTATATTTAGCATCCTCTCTAGGGACAGTATTTCTTTTTAACTTGTAATGTTTGGCATAAGCATTTTTTTCGGCTTCCCACTCTTGGAATATTCTCCATGTGATAGAACTTTACCAATGCCATGGAATAATGTGACTTGAGTCTTTGCCATCTGCAAGTTATTAAGATATCATAGTCTAAGCTAGATGACCTGCCATTCACCAGCCCAGGTAAATGGTGCATAAGACACTCAAATTTCTGCCGCTCATCAGCGAGTAACTACGTTTTCCTACTATAAATATGGACTAATCCACAAAAACAATACTACCCAGAAAAAATGCTCTGTTAGTTATGCACTGTAGGAGCATTGGTTATATTTAACCAACTTATTTGGTGATAGGTTACGTACTTGCATTTTGTCAGAGGATAAACAACTTCAGAAGTATGTAGAAATGTTAGAAATAATGGATAACTCTATGAAGCACTGCCCTCTAGTGATGGTGAATTCATGGGGGGGGGTAGCCCCAAACCTAGCCATGCCTCCGTTCTCTCCCTTTCATCTTAAGTTCATTGCCCACAAAGGGATCTGTCAACATGATGAAGGCCAGAAATGACAAATATATTGTAAAGAAGACATACTTGTTGTTTAATAGAGTAATGAACAGGTATTAAATAGACACGAACTATCCAAAACAATTATCAGCAAACGATCAGATGCAAGGCCAGCAATCCCGTGCCAACTCTCCCCTCCCCTTCCCACCCAGCTCTGAGATTCTTGTATCAGGATTTCCTGATTAGCAGCAACTGTCTCCATGGACTAAGCCAAGCTTAAGAAGGACTTCTGAATGTACAGTTCTGGGGGGATGTCTTCGTTTGGTAGAATACAGTTATTCCATCTCAGTCAACAATCCTTCTTCCCAGCACCCGTCATCTCCTAGGGAAATGGGAGGGTCCTTGTAAGACTCTTTGATGGAGTCACAGTGAGAGGGAAGGTAGAGAAAGAAGGAGTGCAGATGTCTGTTAACAATCCTGCTCATTCATCCAATTGATTGACCTGTGCTGATGTTACTCTGTTAGGGCAAGGGGCATGGAAATCATTGTTATAGTCAAACTGGTGTGAGCATTTGCTATGAAAGCTGGCGGTGGGTCTCAGTTGGAAGTTTTATTTGTTGGTTCACTTGGGCCTGGAGACGATGCACAGAACCTCACCATGCCCGTCCACCTATTTCTGGTCCCACCACCCTTTTAGCTTCTTCCTCGTCTCTCTTTTCCCAACATCTACCCCTACACTCATCCATTCACATTTCCTGACTCTCCTAAATATCTCTCAGTTCTAAGACTTTCTGTCATTACAGCCACCACTCTTTTTCTTGCTGCATCCATCTCTTGCCTGCTTTGCCACCAAAGTCTCTTCTCTGATCGCACACTGTTCTCCATAAAGAGTGAACATTTTTAAAATATAAATTTATTCTTATTACTCTACTCCTATACGTAAGACCCTTAAGGGCTTCCTATTGCTCTTAGTATGAAATCTAAACTTATTGCATAATTACTTTTCAAATGTTTCTTTTCCCTGCTAGACTCTAAGCTCTATGAAGGTCAATTATATTTCCTTCATTCATTGCTATCTCCTCTAAAGGAGGCCTACCCTATTGTATATGATCGCTAATCATTCATTGAATGAATAGGTTCGTTTGCAAAATATCTCTGTGAAATGAATTCTTATTACTTTGCCACTTTTGATTGTTTTGAGATTTTTTTTCTCCCACAAACAAGTTTTCTATCCACAATTGACCAGAATTAGGATACTAGAATGATGCTATCTTGAAATATATATATAAATATATATATATATATATATTTCAAGATAGGATATATATATATATATATATATATATATCTTTTCCACTCCAGCTAGCAGTGATTCATCTATACTTTTGTCCCTGACAAAAATAAATGCATTTGGAAGAGTAGGTAGAGAAAAATTGGAGATGAGAGAATCGGGAAATGGGAGAAATTACCTTTTAGAGAGACACAGGAGGAGATGGAAAACCTGCAGTGGAGATTAGCACCTGAAATAGAGGTGGGAGAAAAATGTTCTCATGGGCACAAAAATCAATATTCAGAAAGAAAAGAAAGCAGGAAAAGAACAACCTTTTTCTATGGCTTGGGCACTGGCTGTGACAAATGTTTTAGAGAATCGTCAAAGAAGAGAACATGTGCCACCTTGGAACATGGTGCTCTCTGGTTCAGGGGAAGGGGGGATTTGCCATGGACACATCCAGTTCCTGTGGTCACAGCCACCACCATGATGTGGGCCTGCTTCCAAACAGTATGCCATGCGCAGAGGAGTACATGTCCAGGGGAGTACTAGAAGCTTTTCCCATCCCAGAGACACAGGCCCTACAGTGCAACGTCATCAGGAAAGGTTCAAGGTAGTAGCTTCCTTCCCTATTCTGTGGCCCCAATTCTCAAAACATGAGGTTTTTCCCTAAAAAACTCATTCTATGTGTATGTGTGTATCAATTTTCAGACCCAGAGATTGGAGCTGCTGTTCTTTTCATCAAAGCAGAGGAGACCAAGCAGCAGATAAAGAAACTCAACAGTGAGGTATAGAACTTTCTTTTTCTCTGGTCATGCTGGAGTGGTAAGAGGCGTTATAAATCCTAGGTACCAGCACAAGCAGTATAATACAGTAATTACAAGTATGGTTTCCAATGTCAGACCACCATGGATGAACTCCCACTAAACCTTCTGAGTTACGTGATCTTTGATAAGTCACTTATCCTCTCTCAAGCCCTATTTCCCCGTGTGTGAGAAGGCTATGGTAATTATGCTTACCGTGTCAACCACTGTGAAATTGAGCTAATCTAGATAAATCATTTAGCATAAAGTAAGAACATATGTGAACATTATTATAATTAGGATATACATGTATTGATCTTTTTTTTAATTAGTGCTTTTTCACCTTTTTCACATACTTTAATTCTTACTGAGTTAAAGCAAGGTCATTAGGCCATAGATGAATCAAAACTGAAGCTCAGAGCAATCAAATGGCCTGAAACTCTGCTGTCTCTGTCACGTATTTGATATGCAACTTTAAGCACTTTATTTCTGTGAATGTTACTATCTATCCATGTAAAATAGGTAATTCTTTACACAACCTTATTAAAGTGTATTTTACATAACATAAAATTTACCCGTTTCAAGTGTACAGTTCAGTGATTTTCAGTAATTTTACTGAGTGGTTCAACTAACACCATCAATTAGTTTTAAACTATTTTTACCCCTACCCCCTCAACAAGATCTCTCATGCTTATTTACAATTAACCCCTGTTCCCACATTCTGCCCTCGGCAACCACTTATCTACTTTCTGGCTATTTTGTATAAATAGAGAAGGCCATTTCTGAATTACTGTCTCAATTTATGTCCCCTAAAAAAATAAAATGAAATTTACAAAAAAACAAAAACAGATTTTGAGACAATAATTTGGATGCAAATTGTTTATTTGGGAGGTAATCCAGGAAACAGGATGAAGGAGTAGAGAAGTAAGACAGAAAAGAAAGGAAAACAAAATAATAAGGATGTGTTACTGAGATAATTAACTCTGTGGGCCACTGGGGCTCAGTCCTGCTGGGGTCTGATAAGCGACTGTGTAGGACAACTCAGAACCGTTCCACCTCGAGGCAAGGAAAAGTGGAGTGGAGAGTGGTCCTCAGGGATTAACTCCCTAGCCCTTCAGCAGGCCAAACTGCAGAGGGGACTAGAAAGACTCCTCAGATAGGAATATGCAGGAAAACCCGGACCTGTCTTTGGTGACCTTCATGGCAGACCAAGGGCAAGGATGTGTGGACAGACACAGACAGTGTCATAGAATTCCTTCTAGGACTAAAGTTTTAGATTATCTGATGAGAACTTGGCCGAAAATATAACCAATTGGTGATAAGATTTGAGAGAAATGAAATTCATATAATCATTATCAGTTTCCAATTATCTGTAATAATGGAAGACTGGGTAGCTTGTCATAAAGTTTTGTTGTTTTTTAAATTTGTGTTTCTTCAGCTTAGTGGAAATCTTCACCTCTCCTTCTCAACCTATACTCTCTGGAAGTAAGATTGTTGCTAACAAGAAGTAAGAGGGCCAAAGGGCAGGCTAACAAGACAGAAATGGAAAAACTGGACTGAAAGTTTTTAAATCATAAGGACTTGACCATAAATTGGATCACCCAAATAACCTCTTATTAAAAATACACCCTCCAAAAAACCCAAAACAAAACACACTGAATACCCTGTTGAAGAGCTGGACGTTAACCTTCTATTCAATTTCTTTTCAGGTATTGTTTTCAGCGAAAACCAAACATTAATACCATTTTAGTTATTTTCTCTCACATTTGATAAGATTATTTAATGGTTTTTAAGAACTGACTGACCAATATCTTAGCTCAAACACTGGAGTTAGTGATTATTCTGGGGGGAAAAAAATGTGTTTATATCTTCACCTTTTGAAATGTACATAAGTTTTCCAAGTTACATCTGTAAATTTACATGCTATATGATTTTCCTTTGACAATGTGAGCCAGTGGTAGATGTGTTAAAATAGATAACTACTTGAAAAACAAAATATTTCCCCAGTGTGATTCTGTATTCATGATTGTTTTTCCAGTGAGATGACATAAACCTTTTTATCTTGTCATACATTGAAATTAAAAGATTAAGATAAAATAACAATGGTCCAATTATCTTTCCTTTTTTCTTTATAGAAAAATATCTGATTTCTTCATGGTTGAAGCTTAAGTGAAAAAATCTTATCCTTTACACATAATTTAATTTATACACTGTCTTGACCCTTTGGGTAGTGCATTAAAACCCACTAAGACAGGCAGAATAAAAATACAAATTGGCTTCAAATTGTAAAATTATGTCCTATCTAACTTCCTACTTGTATTTTTCCTCTTATCTCCTACAAAGTAATGTTATTTTATATAGAAAAAAATCTGTCTTTTAAAGTCCAAGCCTAATTTTTCCATTTCACTTATTTTCTACTTCTCACATGTGATCTTTTGATTCACTCTATTTTGGGGGGGAAGTAAGGAAGAGAAGAATTGATAACAAATGTGGATGTATTGCATGATTAGAACTCTGCAACCAAAAGATCAATCCCCAATGTATGCGAGTCACGTTGAACATTGTGTAAAGCTGAGAACATTACAGAATCTCCATCCTGATATTTGCTCCAACATTTAAGATGTAAAGAAATAGTTCACTGATGTACAGATTTCATAATCAGCAGGTTAAACACAGAACAAAACTCAGAAACGAAACAATATTGGTAATAACCTACATTCTCCGAACAGTTAAGAGAGTTTAAAAGATGTAGGACAGCTGTTAATATTAGAACACTTTTGAAAACAGAGCCACTGCTTTACAGCAGAGGAAAAAAAATAGTGCAATTCTAAGGGAATTGTTTAAAAATAACAACAAAACATCACTGGAGGGGCCATGGGCTGTGTAGGTCAAATGCTCCATTTCTGAAAAGGTTTGTAGGCAAGGGTTAGAGTGTTTTCTCATTTCTGTCATCTGGTTGACCCAGAAAGACACCATGGCAAAGCCTACCAAGGGAAGCTGTGTACTCTGCCCAGCAGGCATAAGACATATAAAGCACGTCAGTGGAGAAAGACAGTAAGCTTTCTAGACAGACGGATATTTAGATGCCTATTCGTAAAGTTAACTCGCTGACTTCGGCAAAGTGTTCACCTTCTCTAAATTCGGATCTCTCTATTACATTGTCAAAGTAAAATCTGTAATACAGGATTGTTGTGAGAACTTAATACCATATGTAAATGATGCTTTCCCTTAATAAAGGGTCACATGCTCATTTCCTCCTCATTCAAGGTTATGGTTCTACCAACAAAAGGTGACTGACTCTCAAGTTACTCCCCCCACCCCCCACCCTCTGCTACCTAACAGTACCCAATGTGGAGTAATAGGAGAGAAAAAACTAGTCAATGCTTATGGGATAAAATGAATGGACTTAAGGGAAACATATTTGATCATGAAAATGACTACTTTCACTTGAGACTTTTCCTTTTGCTATGAAGATACTCAGTATAAAATTAGAATAGAGACTGACAGGGCAAATTGTTGCTATTTCAATACATCTTTTCGCTAAGTAGTTTGATGTAATAATGTCACTATATTAATATAAATAATACTTATTCTGTAAGATTTATAGATGTAAGGGCAAAGAGACCCAGTATGCCAGTTCAACAATGCTTAACCATTATCCGATATTACACGAAACATATAAATGGCAAAATGATGATAAAAATAGGCAGGAAAGAACCTGTCAAGCTTACCAAAGATAATTATAGCCAAATCTTCATTGTCAAACTGAAACAATGCAGGTAGCTTGTTAAATCAGCCTCATTTACCAGGGTGCACTTTGGCTCAAATGCTCTGATTGCCATTTTTTTAGCATTACATTTTGTATGTTCATAAAAGCCAGTTAATTTTAGGTCATTTAATCCACATTCTCCTTAATCCAAATATATTAAGGATAATGAAATGTGTAAGATGCCTAAACAAAACATGAGCTTTGTAGAAACAACAACTTACATTGACTCTTTTGAGGGAGAGGTCTGGTTTCTCATACTATTTATTACTCCTTTTTAAAACAACTTTATTGAGGTATGATTAACATATATAATTCATCCACTTAAAATGTGCAATCTGAAGGCTTTAGTATAGTCACAGAGTTGTGCATCCATTACCATAATCAATTTTATAACATTTCGTTACTCCACAAATTAACTGTGCACCACATAGCCATCACCCCTAATGCCTGGAGGTCATCACCCCCACCCTGCCCAGCCCTAGGCAGCTATTAATTTACATTCTGTACCTATAAGTTTGCTTATTCTGGACATTTCATATGAGTAGAGTTATATAATGTGTGGTCCTTTTGTAACTGACTTTATCACTTAGCATAATGTTTTCAAGTTTCATCTATGTTGTGGCATACTAGTACTTGATTACTTTTCACTGCCAAGTAACACTCCATTGTATTGATGTACTACATTTTCTGTATCCATTCATCAGTTGATTGACATTTGGGCTGTTACCATTTTCGGCTAATATGAATAATGCTTTTCAGATATCGTTTTATGAATAGTGTGAATATTCGTAAAACATTGACACCAGTTTTTGTGTGAACATACATTTTAATTTCTCTTGGCTAATTAAGTGGAATTGCTGGATCATATGGTAACGCTACGTTTAAAAATTTAGGAATTGTCAGGCTATTGTCAGAGCAGTATATGGAGGTTCCCTGCTCTCCATTTCCTTGCCAACAATTGTTATTTGTTATCTGACATTTTTATTATAACCATACTAGTGTGTGTGACGTGGTATCTCATTGCGTTTTTCATTTACATTTCATTGATAGCTAATAATATTGAACATCTTTTCATGTATTTATTGGCTGTTTGTATATCTGTGGAGAATTGTTCAGACCCTTTACCTATTTAAAAACTGGGTTGTCTTTTTATTAGTGAGTTGCAAGGGTTCTTTATATATTCTAGATACAAGTTATAATTTATAGCTTTCTTCTC